CCCCCACCCCCACTCCGTCATCCACAGAACAAGTTACAGCGTTATTTGCACAGATATGTTCCAGCCAGTGTTATCTTTAAAATTGTAAATGATGACCACAATTCATGTGTTTGACTATCGATATTTCTTGACCCACAGTTTGCCCCTTCTTTCTAGCCACCTATATCATTCCCTATTACGGTTTTTGTCACTAACCATCGATTGTCTATATCAAAACTATTAATTAAAGTTATCACTAATAGTATCAAAATGTTTGAATTACGAAATAAATTTCTACATACACGGATAGTAAATACATTTTGTTTAGGGGTGTGTGTGTGTGTGTGTGAGTGAGTGGGAACATACTGATCTGATTTGCCGTGGGAGACCAATAGTGAGACGCGATTTCTGTTTTCACCGTTTGCTTGATTCCATTCAATCATTCTGATAGTTGTCAAGACCCGACAAAACCACTGTTGCAGTTCGGTTGAACTCGAACGCATTACGATGATAAAACGGGGCCAGTCAACAATGCCCCAATAGATGGACAGTGTAACGCGGTGCATCGGATTTGTCTCGTTGTCTCGACAGACCCACTTTGCTGAATATGCTTTCGGAAAAAGTTGTCAATCCAGAAATTTGCCAAGTCATACATACTTGATGATTTCTTCCCTGATCCGACTCGTTTTGCTCCTAGTAAGGTCGTGACTTTTCAACAGCTGTTCCTGTCAACTCAAGTATGCCACAAAGTACCATTTTATTGCTCGTTTCTCTTTTCATTCTATGCCTGTGAAATTCTTAAGCTTTGGATAAGAATACGCCTTTGGTGTTGTACCAGGGGGTAAACTTTCATGCCCCGAAGAATCAGCTGAAGTCTAAACCATACCTAGAGGCGGCGGTTAGGTGACCCTGCATCTCGGTTTCCCCAACTGAATATCACCAAATGTCAGGGTGAGATTTCGTCATTGCAATCCACTGAGCTGTACCAGAATGGAACAATCTGTTTTCCCCTCCCCTCTCTCTCTCTCTCTCTTAGTTACCAATCACTTAATACTGAGTCACTCCCTTGTGAAATATTTGACAGTGTTGTTAACTCATAATCTGTCGTGGTCCAAACCAAACCACGAGAAATTCTGTACGGTTAGAAGACTGTCAATTTTCTTCTTCCTGAGACTGAAAATGCTCTCCGTACTAGATAAGATAATCTGCAGTTTTTTTATGAACGTCTGCATCACCCTTCCACACTGGTTGTGCAATTCGACAGTTATTTCTCCTGTTCCCCTTGAGAAAGATTTCATCCTTCTGAGAAGATCTTTAAATGCCATGAAATTCCTTGTAGATACTAGAGTTACTTAGGCATATTGGTGCACCTAACGAATTTACCTCCTTTTCATCATCGGTGTCACTTCTTTCGACTACCGACTGCGCATGTTCGATCCCGGTGGTATTTTGGTCTGACAGAGAAAACACAAATGGCGGGTAATAATATTCATTTTCGGTTACGTAATGTCGAGCGAGCAGTGAGAAAGTAGTTGGAACAATCACTAGGTGCGTGTGTGTCACGAGGACGTGTTCCGGGGTTACCGAACGCGATGGAGTCGACACGAATGCATTGCCAGATGTCCCCCGGGCTCTCTCTCTCTAGACGATTCAAGACGATATGCCGTTAAACAGACGACGACATGAGGAATAACCAGAGTATGAGTGACGCGAGATTTAGAACTGCAAGAAAACACTGGAAGTCGTTCGGTGATCTGTGTTGTTCTCTTATTCGCATTCAAATTATCCTCATCATTGCACCGTGTAATACAGTGAATCGAATTACACTGATCGCTGCCAAACTCATATTGCATACAAAGAAAGTGAGAATTTGTAAGTAGGATAGAGATTGGACTTAATTTAAGGGACGGGAAAAGAAAGAGAACCGGTATGGTCAACACAAAGAGCACACAGTCCAGCTGTGCATACATACAATTTCAAGCATTCTGGTCTGATAAGAAGTGACAGCATGATTGCCATTGCTGTCGGTTCGCAGCGATGACCTTCAGTGTCTCCAACAATGCAGTTACTGAGTCTTTTGGACCCGAACCCGGAAGACGAGAGACACCTAATCTACCTAATCGCTTTGTGCATTTCTTTATGCATCGTCTCCACGTCATCTGCTGGCTTCCGTGTGGCTTTCTTTAGCCTGTAACAGCCACTGCAAACAAGGCGCGCTGCAGTAGGCGACCGTCGAACATACACAAAACGTGTCCTAACCAACCGAACCTACTGAGCTGAATTCGATGAGATAATGAGTTCTTGTTTGAGGTATTCCCAAATACCCGACGACTTACTTCTAACTTGCTAACCTGCTCACTTCATCCAACCTGGGCCAGACTACGTAAGCATCGATTGTCGAACACTGTTAAACGACGGGTGTCTTCTACCCGCACATTCAAGGTCTCACAACCATGAAGTAGAACTGATCGTACGGTGGCGCAGTGTACGCGACTCCTCAACTTCAGTGACACGTCATGTCGCCACCAGTGATGCTTTAGTCCTGTGTACGCTGATCGAGCCTTGGAAATGCGGGCGGTTATCTCCTTTGATGCGCTATCGTCGTTGGTCACGCAGCTATCTAAGTACGAGAAGTAGTCGACTTCAGCTAATTCCTGGCCGTCCAGTTTCAGAACAGAACATGGCGACACCCAGTCTTGTAACATCAATTTGCACTTTGAAGGTGCAAAGCACATGCCGAACAGAACGACAGAACTTGTTAGTCTATCAAGTGCTCTTTGCGCATCCTCCATACATTAGAAGAGGCAAACGATGTCGTCAACGTACTTCAAATCGCACAGCTTTTCTCCCGCTGCCCATTCAATACCTACATTTTGGAGACCACTTAGTCTGTTCCCAGTATTACGTCTGTGACGAACATGAATCAGAATGGCGAAAGAGGACACCCTTGACGAACACTACTGTTAGTTAAGAACAACCTACTCATATCACCGTATACCCTTACGCTACCACAAAAATAAGAGTAGAGTGAACTCGGTATATTCACATACCTGTGCGGCATTTCTTTGCAAAGGAGTGAACGCAAAAGGGATTCACGATGAACTGAGCCGAGGGCTCCTTCTAGGTCAAGGAACACGACAACCGTTTTTCGACGGTGCGTATGGCGTAGCTCGAGGACTTGACGTAGAGTGAAGATTTGGTCGAAACAACCGCGGCCTGGTCGAAATCCTGCTTGTTGTTCGCGGATGTTTGTCTCCCTAAACGGTGTCAGACATCGAAATTTAATGGAGGCTAGTAACTTGGTGACGATTGGGATGGAACATATTCCACGGTGTTTTGCGCAGTCATTGCGAGATCCTTTCTTAAAAATTGGAACGATCAGTGATTCGCTCCAGGATGATGCAATGCGCTCGTGTAACCAGATGTTACGCATTACATCAGAAATAAAACCTACAAGGCCATCGCCTCCCCCCCCCCCCCCCCCACGCATCTTGAAAGGAGTGTGAGGAAGCCCGTCTGGCCCTGCTGCTTATCCTCTCTTCAGGGCTTGGATGCAAGAACAAACTTCTGCTGCAGTAGGAGGTTCAAATGACACTGCTCACGGAGCCTCAGCTACACTGAAGGAGATAGACTGGTTAGCGCCTGGCCAGCTGAACTGTTCGTTGAAGTACTCCGCCCACCAGTCAAGCCCTTGTTCTCTATTGTGAATAGCTTGCCCAGTTTTGTCGCAGATTGTTTCACTAACTGTGGTTCACCGAACTCCTATACTGCGTATCAATTGGAACAAGGACTTTTCCTTGATGCAGCTGCTACTTCCGTTTCACTAGCCACCGTTNNNGATTGATCAGATATCCAACACTTCGGGCGGGCTTCCACAAGCACTGTTCTCTGCGCAGTGCATTGCTCGGCGAATCTGATCCCATTGTTCATTTACACTACTATATCCCTAGTGCGTTTAGCTTTTGCTCTAGTTCTGATTCAACATGGGCACGAACGGTTGGGTCAGATAAGCGATGATCTGCCAATCGAGTTTGGTGGAATTTTCTGCAAACAGTGAGTTGGAAAGTGAACTGCATCAAAACTAACGTTAAGAGTTGTGTCGGAAGTTGGTGCTGGATAGGAACGGATGGTGATTTACGCACTGCGTGTGACAGAATCAATTTTGGCTCGTTCAGCGGCTTCGAAATTGGCTGGTTGTCGGTATTTCAACAACAATAATCTCAAGGAGTGTCCGGGANTGTCCGGGAAGGCCAAATCGTTCAACAGTAAATATGCATCCTTTCCGATGACCGTTAAGAAATTATTGGTTTGTCGTTCCCCATCTCGAATCTTTCGAGGTAATCTTCAACTTCACCTGCGCTGGCATGTTTGGGTTCTCCAAATTACAGGAATTCGTTTGTTCAAAACGACCGCAATGCCGGTTGTTGGGATTCGTACTCGGAGCAATAATTCGTATAGGTATCGAAATCCACTCAACAATAGTCCAACTCAACACCAAAGCTCAATAATTCAGAACACAAAGGTGAACAACGAAATCGAATTGTAATTAACGGAAAGCGGGAATGTACAAGGATTTCGTATTCAAGAAACAAACGAGTTCATAGTCTATGTGCAATCACCACACGAGCTCCGCTAACTGACAACTACTCGTGGCCTCACCTGGGGTTTCAGCCTTTCTACTTTGGTGCGAGCACTCTCAACATGAGAAAGTGAGCCGGATATCTCTAGGAGATGTTAGTAGAGGTGCAATCCGTGAAAGTATGCATTCTGCAGCGAGAACGCGTTCCTTCTCACTCTGGAAAACGGGCTTTATGTGGGATCCATGTTGCGATTCGAGCGTATAAAGGTTTGAATTTGCTCTGTAAATGACGGAGTCGAATGTGGCGAGTGTGGGACAAAACTTTGTTGTGCTATGTGTTTTCAAACCGAGTTGCGTCACATAAATGATTAAAAGCTACAGTGTTTTTCGCCCACCAGATTGATCAGCACTGTACACAAAACATTTACATAAATAACTATCCTTATCAAGTGAGTTCAATCAAAATGAAATTGTGAAATAAAAATCTTCCGGTAGATAACAGGGTAACAGTTAATGGACAGTGGACAAAACACAAGGAAGAATAAATATGAAAACCTTTCAATGACACCCTTAGTTCTTGCTGAAACGAGATGCAACTAGTCAGCTTTCTGTTCTTGTGAAGTGGTTTCTTCGACACATTGGAGGTATTTGAGGTTAATAGCAGTGAAACATTCAAGATGTTTAAATAGATAGTAGCTTTTAAAAATGATGATGATAAGGTCACCAGAAACAAGTAATAACCCTGTCATTTGTATCAGTCCTGCGATAAACCGAACAGGGACGTTCAACGCATTCATAGAGCTGGGAAGAAAAGCTTCATTTTGTTTGACCACTTGTGATACTAGATCCAATGGGCGATTGCAGAAGAATTGGCAGAAAAGCTGTTCCGGGTTGTGCGACAAACCGCGGGATATTTTTAAGCCAACACGGATGGTATATATTTTGTTTATAACCTCGGTTCTTCACGTTTATCAGAACAGTTTCACTTCATTCAGCGATTAACTGTGCCGGTTTTGGTTACTGCCATAACGCGTATACACACGCACTGGATGCACCATCTTTCTAATAGATTGAGGTCGTTTGAAAAACCTCAATCAGATACTCAAATATCAAGTTGATTAAGGTGATTATGCCTTGATTTCTGGACCGACTCTGCATTGTGTGTTGCAAATTACCTCGTCGGCTATAACGTGTGCATGTATGGGGTGGGAGTGGAGGAACCAGTTCCATTCGTCATTTGTTTACTTTGATGCTTTCTCTCGTTCTCACGGTCCGTCGGTATCATATCGTGAGAGTTTATTTGGTGGTATGCACAGCGTGAGGTAAATTCAGTGTGTTTCAATGCGGTCTTGATATTACAGTTCATTGTACTTTGATAATTGCTGCCCCCCTCCCCCTCCGTACCCGCACCGCTTACGCAGCACTATAGATCTGTTTGGATTGTACTTGTTTGCAACTCCAAGCTAATTTCATGTCCATGGAATTCTGCTTCATCATCCTGGGCCTAATTCATCTTACATATGGCGCAGTCATCTCTCTCTCTACGTGACTGTTATCGTTCATTCTCTTTCAGATCCGTTCTTGACAAATGGGGATGTCACAGACGATCTACAGGGTCGATTTGAGGGCACCCTACGAGATACATATCCAGTCTTGGTCTCAGAAACTCACAGTGACCGATTCGAGCCAGCCTACGTTCAGATCAATGTGACCGCGGAGCCGAAGTTTCTACGGATATGGCTCTATCTGCGGGAGGAGTCCGCACTCAGTTTACCAAAAGCTCTTGGTTCCCCTGAGGAAGATTGTTTAAATATTTTGGACAAAACAGTTTTCGGCAATGAAGAGGGTTCTTTGCATGATGTCAGCTTTACCACTGAGGATATCAAGGGTATCAGGTGCGTGTTCTATTTGTAGTCGAATTTGGGGTTGCTGCGGTTTTTGACAGCTTTCGAATACAGATTGTTTCCAGCGTGTTTCAAAGTTGGTGCTCCCATACCTCTCTAAAGTTTTATAACCAGCGCATTTCATTTTTCTGTTTTATTCATTCATGTTTTTTTGATAAACCAAGAATGAGAGCGAGAGTCGCACACTTGAGTCACCATAGTCTGACGATATATTATGCTAACCAAAAGATAGCGGTCGAAACCGGCGCACGGAAAAGCATGGTTAATGGTAGTTAAACTGGAACTGCGAGAAGATCCATGGTGGTTTTGTTACTGACGTTTTAGAAAATGCATCCGAGCTGAATGGAGCAGATGTTTGAAAGTTTTACTGATTTTTTGGAAGAAGCATGCCTGAGAAGTAGCCTTGACACCACTTCTGGGAATAGATACCTCATGGGGAGTGATTAGCTCTGTGTTCGGCTGATGGAGCAAATGTTGTACGCCGGAAACGAATGAGGGAAACTCCCACCACTGAAACTCGAATGAATAGTGTCCGTAACACCAACATCTCAAAAACAATATCCATCACGAGGTAATCGACATATGATAGGGTTACCACAGAAATTTAGACGGGGTGGTGTGATTCAAACGCGTATTTCAGGGTAATAACTTGGTGACTTTAACTTTTTCATCACCACCACGATCTCTAGGTCGGTTGTTGATTTAATCACAAAATGGTGATCATCTCTGATATCTTGCTACCTAGTCTCTCATTGTCTTTGATGTGGGTCAATTATTCCTTCTCAATGCTGTGTATGTAAGAGACTCGATTATGTATAGAAAAACGCGATAAGTTTGTTTATGGTAGGTTCCGCAAACGAGAAAGCACCCATAGAGCAGTATTGGCATTAGACTACTAGTGTTGGGAGGTACTACTCACACTTTTAAATAGTGTATATCTGTATATTTTGTTCTCTTGGTTCCTTCTGCGTACATTTTTGATGTGGATTTCAATTCTAAAACTTAACTTGTTCCGTTTTCGCATTTTTCCGCTGCCCATAATCCCAATACTTTCTCTGTTTCTCTCCCCATTCTTCTGTCGCCCGAAATGTCCGTGATATTGCTCACCCAGCCTAACACAGAAGAACAACCGTGCAGTGTTTTTGTACACAGTTCACTACTCGCATGACTATTGTCTGTCATTCTCATGTGAGGCAACCAAACAACAGTGAGTTCCCCGATCCGCCTGTCCGACTCTTTGTTTCTGCATAATCGCTTCTATCCCATGCAGTGCAGTGCAGTGCACCACCATTGTTTGGATTCCTTTGTTCTTCAAGGTGGGTGCGATTTAAACCGTGAACCTTTGAGCTGGAAAACACAGAATCACGCGTGGTATTTTAATCTAGGAGCGGAAGTTTCACATATTACTGTCTGTATTGTTACCATACGGTATATTCGTTCCAAAAAGTGAAACAGTTTGCAGAGTGGTTTTTACCTCGGTGATTAATCGTGATAAATGGCCTCATAGATCACACTCTTCTGTTGTCGTTGTTGTTGTTGTTGTTGTGGTGGTGGTGGTGGTGGTGTTGGTGGTTATTATCTTTGTTGTTGTCATTGTTCCGCACAAGACTACTACATCATTATCCTCGGGCTTTTAACTTAAGCCCTTGGTACTTTAGCCGCAACTGACAATCCTCTACTCTGAGCCCCGCAATTCTTGGGCCTGTACTTGAAAATTTTTGCCTTGTTGTACTGTATGCGACTCAGGTCAAAGTATCGAAATATTAGAGAGGTCAACGGATGATGAAAATTTTAATTTTAACAATTGCTGATTCTGCAAAGTTTGGTTGACAAACGAATTGGTGCGACGATAGTACACTGCGTAGTCGCCTGTCATATTCGGGGCAAATACTGTAACTACCAATGTACTGAGTAACAAGGTATTTCAGTAGCATTTAGCTTTGACAATGTTCCACCGCCGGTTGATCGAAGGGCTTTGGGTGCACAATAACAATTATTCAGTCACCATATTCACTTTTCTGCACCAAATATCCACAGTTTTAACCGGCTAGTTAATTCAAACAGATAATTTTTAAAAAATACTTGAGTTCGTCCGATTTTTTTTTGATGCATGGAGAACTAGTTGATTGAAACTGCTGCAAGTAAATTGTGCGTGCAAATATTTCGGCGATTTGGAGCGCATAATTTCATCCTTCTGCAGCATCTGACACCCTAACAATGGTCAGTTTCGTGGCTACCATTGCCTAGCCTCGTTTGCACCGCGAGCTTTTCGAAGTAAAATTTTGTAAAAAAGTACACCAATTTCCAACATTCTTTAACCTCAGAGTATTTCGGTACTTTCTATCTGAAAGTCCTACCGCAATGTTGTAAAAGTGTGTGCATCCCGGTTAACGAATTTTGGATTGTAGCTAAGCGATTGGTGGTCGAAAAGATTGTGGGTCCCTGTTAACGAATTGAGTGTTTTGACCGAAGCTTGACGGTCAAAGGTGTAGTTGTTTTTCTAAAGAATTCACTTGTTTTTTACCTGTTAGCCTCATGCGGTTATGCTAGTTTTTATTCAGTCGCGTTTCATACGGACACTTGTGCAGTTTGTCTATATGCTTCGAACTCCAAACACTTCGTCGATCCGGCACGAATGTTGCTTTCACCACCGTCTCCCTCTTCCCGATTGCCCTTGCGATTTTTTTCACGGTGTTTTAGTTGCTGACTTAACCAGTGACTAGATAGAAAGGGCTAATGCAACCACATCACTCACTGTCTTTGTTGAAGGTTACTAGAAATTTGTGTTGAGTAAATTCAGTCATGCTCGTCTGGCCTTATTTTGAGCCCATTTTCTGTATGTATGTGTGACATTCGTCTAGATGGTGCTGTGTCGTTTAAGTGTTTTCCCACCTCGTGGTCATTGCCAATCTGTACTCCGTGCGCATTTGTCCAAATAGTCAGAGCGCATCTGGTGCTGTCAACGAACGACAACCAAATGATTCTGTGTTGGTACTCATTTGTGTAGTGGGTTGGAATGGCTGATTGTGCATCAGTTATTCTTCATTAATATTCCCCTACGTCTACTTTTCCCGTGTCAAATTTAGATTTTACATGGTTGTGCGAGAATCCCTGTTCTCCGCGGACGAACCGGCCGGTTTCCTTCTGGATGACGATCCCCAAGAACCTGTTCGCGTAAGCCATCGCATCTGATTCGCTCCCGCCCATCTGCTCAGTTCATTTGAATCATGCATCATGCGCTTCTAGTTGTACGTAAATCCCTGCACCTACCCCGCTCCTCATTACTCGGTCGCATTACTGTTTTCGTGACGGAGATTGGTTGCCTTTTGTTCTTCCTCCTCTGCTCCCCCCTCCTCTCTTTTCTCCCAGTTCGAGTATGAGGTGGACGACAATGGTCAACGTATTGTTCTCGGAAAGGGCACTTTCGGTACTGTGTATTCCGGTCGTGAGTTGTCGAGAGAAGTCAAAATTGCGATCAAAGCGTTGAACAATATTAGTTCATGGTAAGCGGTGTGTCATTTCTCCCGATCATCCTTCAACCATCTGTTTTCGTGCGAACACACACTGAACCGCTTGAAAATTTCATCATTTCCTCGCTTTAACTTTTCCCTTGAGTTACATTTAACCCTTATCTCCTTAGTGGTCGAAGGAGTCAGGATTGTCGTGAATGTGAACACTGTTATCTCAATGTTTGATCGTTGCTAATNGCTAATTTCTTTTTGAGAAAATCTCGAAAATTATCTGCTGTAAGTGAGAACTTAGTCGGTTCGAAAATGGTGTTCATGCTTTGACTCATTGATCTTTATAGATCCAGGTGATGGGAGCTGTGTTACGCGCGTTATTCAGTAGGCTGTCTCTGCGTACAATGTTTTCCGTGGCAGGTAATGCGCGGTGAAATACCAAGCTTGATCAGATGATCTCACACAAAATATTCACAACGGGACTTAGTCAATCAGATCCCATCGGACTTCTTGATCGGGGACCTCTGGGCCTGCCTAATTAGTAATTACGGATGGTTGCACATCCAGCCGGTAAATCTGTTTACTTTTCTCTGTCTGTTTGTCTGAGTCAGCGAATNCAAAACACTACTTTGAAGTGCACGGTGGTTGAAGGTCGATCAAACTGTAACCAATACTGCCTACCAAATTGCATTCGCATTATAATCTCATGGGTTTTTATTGTCGTGGATTTGCCAAGCCCACAGTCCGTTTGAATTTCGATTTAAGCTGACCATCATTCAGATATCACCTTCACGTACAACCCTCAGCTCTTGCTGTCAACCATGCGTTTGGAATCACTAGACTGGAGTTTCGCTTCTATTACAGCTCATCAGTAGTGCACGTCCACCGTTCTGTCCGGAATTTGAACTCCGGACCCATCGCATGGAAGGTGTGTGTTACCACTGTGCCAACCAGTTCATACCAGGACTGAACCAAAATGCCAATTTGTTTTTTCTAGTGGAATCGCTTCCACCAGTTAGTTACGTTTGTTTCATCGGATCGAAAATCATTGTTCATCTGATGGATAAAAAGATACGGATAACTCATGTGACCGCTACAGAACTGAATCAACATTAGTTCCGCCAAACGGAAGTATTTTCCCTTCAAACATACTGTTCAAGCCCACAGTGACCTCAAAATTTGTCCAATATGCACCGGTCAGCCTATTCCGTAATCCAACTGCACGACGATCAAGAATCTACCAGCTTCTGTTTTCTGGTATATCGTTCCTGCATCCGTTTAATTTCACCTGTTCGAATTCGCAACCGTCCATTCGCTTCATTCGTTCACTTTTCTCCATGCAGTGAGTTCCAATCCTTCGGCGAGGAGATTCGATTGCATTCCCGACTGAATCATCGGAACATTGTACGCTATCTCGGTTCCGATGTACGTGACGGAGTGTTTGTCATTCTGATGGAGTTGGTACCCGGAGGTGCGTTTTTTTGCTCGGATCTGGAATAGCTTTTGCT